GGTCATGAGAAGCTGTGGAGGAGTGGAGTAGATTTTCGCACGAAACAAGAATCCGAGTTTTTGTTAAAAACCTCTTGTGATGGATCGTACATAATTTTCCCATAGGAGAGTATTGCTGATGGTATTGTCAAGCACAGATATAGTGGTTTTGGTGAAAATGGTGGTACCAGACATTGTTATATCAGGCATACTGAGTTCCGCCTTCTTATAGAAAAAACAGGCTTGAGTTTTGATTGCGTTGAATATAACTAGGTTGTTGGTGACTCAGACTGTAATTTCCGCAATATGTTCATTGACAGCGTTGGCCTGCCCTCGCCGTGAGTACTTAGTTTCCTGGAAAAGAATGAGAATTCCAGAAGAGACCGCAGTATGAAGAGTTTTGTCGTCTTCAAAACTGTGGATAGGGCAAGTGGTCGCTCCCAATACATCGTTGATATGAAATAGGAAAAATGTTGGTGCCAAGATTGATCTTTGTGGAATGCTGGAATTGATGGCAATGGTATCAACCGATACTTCATCTACCACCACATGGTGCTATCTGCCTTAAAGAAAACTCGATGTATGATGGCATAGCTGAGGTGGTGAGCCGTATGATAGTAGTATGTGGAGCAGCCCTTGATGCCAGACACGGTCAAATGCTTTCGATATACTCATATAGTGGTCCAGCTAGAGATTTTTTCATGTCTCTCATGATGAAGGCAAGTAAATCTCCAGTTGATCTTCGGTGGCGAAAGCCATATTGTCTATCATTGATGAATCCAGAGCTTTCCAGATCTTTGGCGAGCTCGATGTTGATTGCTTTCTCCATCACTTTGGAGATGACCGATAATAGGGCAATTGGCATATATTCATTGGGCTGGCTCCTGTTCTCTTTTTTGGGGATTGGTTGGACTCTAGCTATTCTGCTGCAAGATGCAACAATTCCTGACACCTAGGAGATAGAAAATAGCTTGCAGAGAATCGGTCCCAATTCTGAGAATAATGGGTATAATTCTACCAGGACCATTGTACTCGTTCGATTTGAGACGGAGCATAATGCGCATGATTGTGCGTTGACGAAAGACAATTTAGGGCATTCCACTCTCAACGTTGGGAATATCTGGCAGCACCTTCTACTGGGAATGCAGGGTGGAGTTTGCTGCGAATATCTCTGCATGATTTTTCATGCATCTATTGTTTGGCTGCAGTAATTTCTTGCTCCAACAGATTCTGCTCTAGTCACGAGGAAACAACTCAAGAACGGTTCTTGTTGAGGGTATCAAAGCTGATGGTCTCTTCGAAGAGTAGGGTATATATGATGTGTTCATTTCGGGCGTGATGATCTCAGATATTTCCGAGGCACATTGCGAAGGATTCTCAGACTCAAAGCATATCCTATGTCGAGGAAACTTGGAGAACAACTTGCAGAGACCGTCCCAATCTCCTGAGTACAAGACCTGGTGGTGCTGGAGTTGTTGATGGAATGAAGAATGGGCAGGTTGTGGAGATAAGTATGTGATCAAAATTTGCCAAGTGGTGCTCGTACATGAATCGTGTGAGGTGCTGAATTATTAGTGAGGAATACGTCGGGTACGTTGACTGAATAGCGGCCAGGTGGTCGAGAGCGCGAAGGCGCTGAGTTCGTATGGGGACTCCCACCGAGGCATGGGTTTGAATCCTAGTTAGGCCATGGATGTTTGAAAATGTATGCTTTCCTAACCCCGCACAAGTTTCGACTCATGGGGCAATGGATCCAGTGCTGGGTCCAATGAGGAAATGCAATTGAAAATAATAAAGTAATAATGATTGTTGACATCAGGAATCCGTGTAGGTTTCTTGGTGAGCTGCCTCAAGGCGTGGGTGATGGTGAAAGCTTTGGCTCGTCTTCCAGCTCCATCCGTTTTGTTGTGTACGAACCAAGCAGTTTTTTTACATTGAAATCGCCCATGATGATGATTTCTGCTGCTGGATGGATCTTCAAGGAAAAGCATTCTGATATTCCATCCTCATCTCAGTATGTAGTACCTCATATCTCAACTCATACTCTAAATATCCTAGATTGAACGAATTGTATCAGGATCAATTCTTTTCGGAGATGATTACGATGATTCATTCATGAGTTCGTTGAGATGACTTTTGTTGTTTTTTTTTCGCTTACCGATTTCATGGGTGGCAAATTGACCGGTATTGAACCTGCAGAAGGATGTTTTCGCTGAATTACTTCATTATTGAAAATCTCCAAGTAGTTCAGAATTCCTGAAGACTAAAATCCTGAGAAGTAGAAAAATGGAATGAGTGATTTCTTTGAGAAGGCTTTCCTCGTTTTTTGCTAAGTGGGAGGTAGATTCCGTGAAATATTCGGCATTTTCCTGAGTATTTTATTGTAGGTCATCTTATTATAAGCAAACCTGACCTACGAATTTAATTCCTTCGTCGTCTTGTTTCAGTTGTTCCTATTTACTGTCGCCTCCAGACAATAGCCTTCAGCTGTATTTCTGATATTGTGTGAGATTTGACGTCTTGTTAGATGAACTTGAATGATGAGCAGGATCATTCAGCTGTTTCAATATACACCTTGCTTCAGTTCAAGAGTCTTGAAAGTTTCCAACCAGTCAGAGCGCCAAGGTAGTTTGCAGCTGTTGTTGCTTGCGATGGGAATAGCAGTGAATCAACCAATCAAGTACCGATTCTGCTGCATGTGCTCTAGAACATGATAATTCAAATGCATATGCAGAAACTCATTTCAGCATTCTTCGGTGTCGAGGGTTTTTTCTCTAAAAAATGAAGATCAAGTGAGCGCAGAGAGCTTCGCTTTCAGATTCTGCCATTATTTCTTGTGATGATGCAGCTCGTACATATCTCCAGAAACTAATAATAGAGATAATCCTCATTTTTGGTTTCCTGGTGTTCAGGTCACCCTGAAAAGAAAGGAGTCTTTGACTGACTCGTTTCCCCATGTTTTAGTCAATATTCAGGTGTATTTGTTTTAGATTTCAACCCTAAATCTTCTGCCATGAATTTGAGCGCCTCTCACGTAATGGCTGAGAGACCTCCAACCACTAAGCATACCGGCTCCTTCGAGTTTCCTGAAGACCAATCCGAGGACAACTGGACTTCTTGGACCTATGTCATCACTGGGATTCCTCGAGATAATCCTCATGAGGCCACTTTTCTGCATGCACGACGTCTCTCCTGGTTGTACCACGCTTCGCTTGCTCTGTTCGACTTTGGGTTAGGAGCGCCATTTAATCCTCAAACTCGTCCAGGGTGCAACTTTTCAGGAAACACCACCTCTTTGGACCAGTCCTGGCACAGATCAAATGTTTCAGGGCTTCTGACACTGGCAGTTTTAGATAAGGCAGGTCTACAACTGTGGAGAGTTTTCAAGAAAGAGACCACTTTCCCTCACTTCAAACCATCACACCCCAACTGAAGGAGACATGTAAGATCACTTCAATTTATCCAATGTCCAACATTCCGGACTCAACCTCCACTTCTGCATATAGTGATTTTTTTCTGAGTTATGTATCAAAAGGTGAATCATACTTCAATATATCGAAAATTATCACATTTTTGATCATCTGTAACAATTACTGAGTTTATATACGATATATGAAGAGGTTTATAGTTTAAATGGTGAACAAAAATTTCTGCAGTATTCCGATTACTATATCTATGAGAGTATTTTCAGTCACTCTATTTTAATCATCAGAAAATTGTGTATATTGCAGATTATTATTATTATTATTTTGTATTCTTCCCTCTCAGGTTGAATTTCAGATGCAATTTCCATATGTTTCTTCCACAACGAGTATATCTTTCATTAGTTTCAGGGCCGGTTGCATAAAGCTCTTTAATAACTTAACGAGGAATCCACTCTCCTAACTCAAAGCTGAGGCATATACTTTGCCAGAGGATATGAACACTTTTAATATTTAATCGTCTCTCGAATGCGTCATGTAATTGGCTCTTACACTACATGAAAATTCAAGTGGCGCTCAACAAGTCACCTAACATAATCAGAACTTGAAGCCTTCAAGTCTCAACAGACCCAAGAATTGTTGGAGTCAGTTATGATACTAGCTTTTCTGATTTCCAATCATGAAAATGAATAAAAGTTGTACAGTTCGTATCAAGTACACCCAAGAACTTCATAAAAAACTGGGTACATATTGTACGTCTTGATAGTCTAATCTTCAGACATACATTTGGTGGCTTAAGAATCGCAGGAAATGTCTGATCGACAAACAGGCTATCAAACTCGAATCGGAGGGAATATACTTCTTCAGACTGAGGATAATGAATGTATATTAACACATACAGTCACATAACGTGAAGTATGAAATCCCCATTTCATATTTGTCGACATAGTCGATTTCACCATAATAAACTTCAATCTGATGAAATGAAGGTCCGCAGTTTCAAACTTTCGATATTCCGTCATCAGCTTGTGAGTAGAGAGTTTCATTCGAAGGAATACATAATGTCACAAACATTCGTATTGTGTTCACCTAAGATGAGAAATACAGAAGAACTACAATAATTGAGTGAATGGGAAATTGAATGAAAAAATCATGATGAACGGTATACAAGTACGGTTTAATTATATTTGAGAGGACATCGAGAAACTACTGAATTTTCGGAAAATGGCAACGAGTAGATTATCCCACTATCTGAACAAGTATGGTGCGACGACGAAGCAGATTTTCCAGCTCTGCAATCCAGCAACTGCGTCAATATTAGTACTCTAAATATTTACCAGTTGAATAATCACGACAAAAATGTAGGCATCAACCTACTCATCTGATTTACTATGGAGCTCAATAACTGAGTGCTGGGTGGGAATCTATTGCACAAAATATAAAATTTTATCTCATTCGTCCCCTATATGAGTTACGGCTACGCATTCTGAGAATGAAATAACAAATCACTAGGAGGTCAAAATAAACTCATCTTTAGTGAGTCAGGGCTCAGCACACGGAGATTGTAATAATAAGTTCAAGATAACAAAAAACACTCACCACCATCTACATCGACACAAACAGAGCCGGGACAGCAATGTTCATTAGCCGTGCACCTCTTTCCATAGCATGGTTCGTCATCATTGTTTTCACTGACGTATTCTTCTAGTATACCATCATCTCCTTCCGATCTCTGAAAAAATTTTATTATAATTCACCTACAGCTCAGTTAATATTTCATGATTTATTTCACCGAAACTAAATATTATTTACATTCGTTTTGAATGAAGGTTTTCCATCTGATCTGATTGCATTTGACAGGTCACTGTGGTTCATTTCAAGAAAAAAGTGTCTTTCAAAGTTTTTCATTCGTATTTTCGTTGCGCACTGATTGCAGCTTCGATGCAATCAGTTTTTCTACAAAGCATTTTCCAGTTTGAATCCCATCAGTTAGTGTGGATATTCCACTCAGAAAACAATTTTGCAATTAGAGCGATTCCATCTTCACCTTATCTGGTTGGTAGAAAAACAGATGTTGACAAAATGAAACATTGATTTGTCCAAACCCATACAGAATAGTGAAAAATGGCTGATTCAACATCGGATTTATGGAGGGAGCAGCACAAAATGTACTATTCTCCTCGTCCATCCATGTATTTATTCCGTTACTAGTGTAGAGAAGAATATTCCATCACCATTCAGGTGATATTTAACTTAAGTAAGACGTTTCAAAACTTCCGCCAGGTTCGAAAAGTGTCAAAATTGAATACCAAAATTATGGAATAGATATTCTCGTAACCCACTCGTTGCGATCAGGAATTATTCGCTTGAAAATATTACAAAATTTTTGTGTGAGTCGTTTCAAATTTTCATAACTGTATGCTATTCAATCATGTTTCAAAATATTTGATCTTGCTCAACGACAACTCTGAATAATTCACATTCTGTAGAATATCAATTATTCTTGATTTTCCTAGGAAGGTGTAGTGTAGTGATTATTATCATAATCTGAACTATTATTCGAAACCAATGATCAAACTTCAGACTGATATGTTATACGAATAATTTGAGCAAAGTATGCAATAGATTAAATTAATGACGACCAAACGTTGAAAACCTATTTTTTCATGAACCTTAACCTAAACATCACAATCAAAATAACAAAGATGATGCCACTTCCGGAAAAACCAAAAGCTTCACGATAACATGAATATTTTCCTCACAAATTTTCAGAATCGTTTTTCTTTCAGTTCTTTATTACAGGGTGCCCAAAAATTAGTCTGTAAAATTTTATCCGCGACTTCAACGACAAAAAATAGGAAGAAAAGATTCAATGAACATAAGTAGAAAAATGTCTCCTAAGGAAGCTACGGCCTTCTGAGAGTGGACTCCTGGAGATCTTGAATATTTTCGGAACGCCATGTGATGAGATGATCCGTTTCGATACAAGAACTTGACTTCTCACTAGAATACTGTAATGATATTTCCCTAAGAGGGGTTCTAGAAACATCTTCAGGAAAGCAGGAGTACAAAGATCATCCTGTAACACGCATCCCAGATTGTTCCCCAACATTTCAATGATTCCTACCTCTACCAGCATATTTCCGAACACTCAATATATGCCGCGGTGACAAATAACGTGACAGAAGATTCTGGAATGTTCTAAAGACAATCGATGGAACAATTAGAGAAATAGGTGTTGTTCCAAGAAGCTTCTAGAACAAAAAGAAGGGTACAGAAGATCATTCGAGAACGTTCGATGAGCAGAACCTACCAATGGATCTCACATATCAAACGGCCGAACAACTGCAGTTAGTCAGTCAAGCAGCGAGTGTCAGAGAGACATTCATATTCCGCGTGATATAAATCGTTTCACATGAATAGTAGTTATAAGTTCGATATGAATTAGTGTTTGTCTATTTCGAATAAATCTGCTTTAGAATAAAGAGTGATGTCGTGTTCGCTTCTGCACCCGAATAACGTAACAATTGGTGTCAGAAGAGGGATATTCCAGTGTGAAGTGAACATACCGTTGCAATTGAGAAACTACACGAGTTGAAAGTGGTGGACTTGAAACGTGAGTTGGAGGAGAGAGATCTCGACACAACAGGGATGAAGGCTACACCTCAGCATCGTCTCAGAGAGTATATAGTGAGCGTAGGTCAAGATCCGGAGACGTTCATATTCGAGGAACCAGCTTCAGCGGAATCGATGTTGGCTGGGATTTCGGAACAGATAACGGCCCAGCGACAAGACATCACGGATGAAATGCGTGCTCAGCAGGATAAGATCACGGACCAGATAGCGGCTCAGCGACAGGACATTGCGGACCAGATGGTGGCTCAGCAGGAGAAGATCACGGACCAGATAGCTGCTCAACGACAAGACATCGCGGATCAGATGCGTGCTCAGCAGGAGAAGATCTCAGCAAGATCAGATAGCCTTTCGAATCTTAGCCCAACGAGACGAGGTATTAGCTCAGATGTCCACTCAGCGAGATGTTCTGGCACGTATTTCTGCTCAGCAAGATCAGATCGCTTCCTAGATATCAGCCCAACGAGAAGAAGTATTGACTCAGATATCAACACATCGGGAAGAGGTTCTGACTCAGATCGCTGCTTAGCAAGAACAGATCGTTGCTCAGCAAGAACAGATCGTTGCTCAGCAAGAACAGATCGTTGCTCAGCAAGAACAGATAGCGTCTCAGCAGGACAAAATTATAGCTCAGGTTTCAGCCCAATTCACTACTCAGATAGGAGGAATGGATAAGAAGCTGCAGCTCGAAATAGAAAGAACAGCTGTGCTGGAGGAGTCTGGTCAAAGACTTATGATTAAAACCACAGTAGGGCCAGATGCAGTGACTTTTATCAATCGAGTAAAGCCGCCTACATTTGATGGAAAAACATCATGGCCAAACTACCTGAAGCAATTCGAAGCAGCTTCCAAAGCCAATGGGTGAACATCAAAGGAGAAAGTGGTAGCTCTTAGAGTAGCTCTCTGCCAAACGCCTCGAAATGCGGTATAGTCACGAACATCTTCAGCAGATGTTTCAATCACAAATAAAGAGCTGTCGACAAAGAGTCAACGAGAGGCTGCAAGAATTCGAAGTGGACGTTGCACGATTGGTTCATTGTGCATATCCATCAGCTCCCGAGTCTCTAATGGAATGCTTGGCTGATCAAACGTTCGTAGATGGACTACGAGATATTGAAATGCAGAAAGCAGTTCGCCTCACTCGATCAAAATACCTCACCAGTGCTCTCGCAGCTGCGCCCGAGGATTCGCGAAGGTACGAGCGGTGAATGACAGCAAGAACATAGCCGAGAGCCACAGACAGGATTCGAATGAAGCCTTGAACAACGGCATCAGGGGCCTCTTGGAAAAAAACAGGAGACCAGTTCGCTGTTGGAATTGTGGGGAGTGGGGCCACCTCCAGAGAACTCATAAACGTGCCAAGCAGGCTGCTGAGGAAGGACCATCCTCCACGCAGCCACAGGAAAACTAGAGCGGGTTGACTTCGAGGGAGTAGCTTTGACTTGTCATTCTCAAGACCATCTCATCCTTGTGGCATCCCTCAGGCGTGATAACAGGAGCGTCTATGTAGATGGACAGATCGACGGAAAGAGATGCGCATTGTTGGTGAATACTGGTGCATCGAAGACTATCCTGCGACGTGAATTTTTGACGTTCTCAAGAAAGCAACTTGTGAACTCAAGATGGCATCTGAGAACTGCTACAGGAGAAGATGCCACCGTTAATTGGGATATCGATGTGGATATACTGATCGGGGCCGTTATATTTCCACATCGAGCTATCATGGCAGATATTGAGGAAGATGTTATTCTGGGAATAGACATCATGGGTGCGCAAATGATTCAACTGGATTTCAGAAGCAGAACTCTCAAGGTGGATGCCGAAGAGATCTTCTCACAGCCACAGGTGGAGGTAGCGGGAGGAGTAATGTTAGAAGAGGACGTCCTATTATCGAAACGGAGCGAGACCATTGTAGCAGCGCGGATTGAGGGTACATTGGAGCAAGGCAGTCCCATCATCATGGAACCCTGGAACCATGACGATGAAGTCGGACGTAGAATCTTAGTCAGCAAGGCTTCACTGTCAGCAGACGACCATGTGCCTTTTCGTTTTATCAACATGAATAATTACCCTGTGAAGATTGGCAAAGGAACGAAGATTGGAAACTGTGTCCCGGCAGCCTCCATATAATCCACCAGGTGACAGCAACCACTGATGGGGCCAACAAGTATGTAGAACTCGTCTCTGCTGCAAGCGACTCACTCAACAACCGACAAAAGAAGGAGTTAACCGAGCTACTGCAGAGATATAGATCCATTTTCATACCTGCCAATGGAAAAACAGGTGGAACCAACATCGTCAGTTTCGAAATCGATACGGGGGATACCAGACCGACTCGTCAACCAGTCCGAAGATAACCACAGGCCAAGAGAGAAATAGCAGGAAAGATCATCTAGGATATGGAACAAGACGGAGTAATCGAGCCATCCAATAGTCCTTGGGCTTCAGTGGTACTAGTTAAGAAAACAGATGAAAACACTTGTTCCTGCGTGGACTATCGCCAATTGAACAACGTGACGAAGAAGGACAGCTATCCTTTGCCTCTGATTGACGACACACTCGACACGTTGGCGGAGACGAATCTTTTCTCAACTCTGGACCTGAAAAGTGGATATTGGCAGGTGGAAATGGATCCGGCAGATAAGGAAAATACAGCTTCCACCATCGGTACTGGTTCAATTCAAGGTTATGCCTCTCGGACTCTGCAATGCTCCGGCCACCTTCGAACGAATCATGAAGGATATGTTGAGGAAACTCTCCTGGAAGACATGCCTGGTTTATTTGGATGACATCATCGTGATCGGTGAAACTTTTGGAAAACATCTGGCTAACCTAGAGAGAGTTTTCAAGATACTTCAGACTGCAAACCTCACACTCAATCTGAAGAAATGTCATCTGCTGTAGAAACGGGTTAACTACTTGGGGAACGTCGTGGGAAGGCAGTGTGTGGAAGTCGACCCTGATAAGGTACGAGCATTGAAGCTATGGCCAGTACCAAAAGATAAGCATCAACTCAGGAGGTTTTTTGGACTCTGCACTTATCATCGACGTAAAATCAGTAGAGCACTTCTATAAGTACCTCTATGGAGAAAAATTTCT